GACGGCTAAAACTCATCCGTATTCATTCTTTAATAAGCTATATTACTGAGGAATAATACGATGTTGACGATAGAAAGACGACCTTCGAATTGGAAGCAGTCTCTGTGGATGATGATGGTTCCACGTAACCTTCAGGTGCATCGAATTCCACGTTCATATCACATTCAATTATCGCTACTGCATTCCCTGGCTTCACTTCCATCACCAAAAATTCAAGCAGTTGATCGTTATACTGAAATAGACACTCACTTCATCAGTCACCATCGGTCATTTATGATTGCTTAGCGAAAAGAACTTCTTTTCATTTCGTCCTTGTTGACTTCCAGCTGAATCTTCCAATGGAAGTCAAAGTCATTACCAACACAATCAGAAGTCACCCACCTGAACAGCGATAATATCGCCTTTAGTGAGACACGCGAATTTGCGTAATTCCACTTCGAGCATCGCTCGTGGATTCGAGATGGCGAGAAAGTCAGTCGACTGTGGCTTGAACTTCGCATACGTTGCACTCGGTAATGAACTGTACGTGATACGTACAAAATCCCCTTCACTCAGATGGAGTTGACGCATCATCTGGAAGAACTTTCATTTAGTTACTCTTGTCCATTATTATTACTACTATTATTATTATCACTATTAGTATAATTAATATTGATATATTGTCCTTATTAATATTATTACATTATTGTATTATTGTCGTGATTACCATAAACGTACATACTGGAATTTTTAGACACATTTCCGAAATCGGCGTTCTTTTGACGTGGTGAGGAAAGCGAGGTTACCGTTAGCAAACACAAATAGTTGCAAGTTCTAATTAGCNCTGATGATGGATAACACAAGATTAAAAGTGTGATGTGATATAGACATTACAACAGATTAAATTCTGTGATGTGATACAGACATTAAAATTGATTAAGATTAATTGTACGATAAGACTTAAAATAAGCAAAGATTTATGATAACATTTCTTAGTCAAAGTTGACAATGTATCAAACAGTGAATAAGACTAACAAAGTGTCTCAAATGACTAGATTCGTCATCAATAAACAGCGAGAAGCACGCCAACTCACCCACGACGGCAAATAACAGCGTCCCTCTTCAGCCAAGAATTCCAACACTCCACAATGTGTGAACAAATTTGCCTCATTCACTGAATTAATTTTGAACATCATCGGATATTCAATATTCAAACGTACCAATGAATCCAATGCTGAGGGTGGTAACAAAATCTGAAATGTTGCAAAAAATTTTGGTCACTTAATCAATGATGTTGTTATTATTTTAATTATTACTACTACCATTATTATTATCAATATCACCATTTTATACACATCTGTTCCATCAATCGAAGATTTCTCTACACACTCTACAACTCATCTTTTGCATAATGCCGAAAATGTCAATTTCTTAATGCATTCATTTCCTTCTACAATATGCCACATGATCTCTAATCAATAATTTTACGGAAATATATCATAACTGAATAATGATGAGGTGAATCATAAGATTTCTTAGAGAAACCACTTCTTTGATGAAAATGACAATGGTCATCAATAATTCTAATTATTCTCAATAGATCAGCTCATCTACGGAACAACGAACCTTTCCACCGTGATTCAAGTCATTAATTTTCTCGGAATCAGCACGACTGAAGAACGGTGCTGAGAAGCATCGCAACTGCATATCGAACGGCCTTATCGGACCGCCGAACAACATTCCCTCAAGACCACCGAACATATTTTCTGCTCTGAATTAATTCATGATCTTTATTCATATCTATCCTTGATTATTCACATAAAAACTGCTCGCAAGTCTTCACCGTTTGAATGCACAATGTGTACACCCCAAACCCTCATGGAGAACAAACGTTGCAGACTGCTTAGACCGTAACCCAGTGCGATGTTTACAGACTGCTTCTTGAATGTCATTCCAATTCAGTAACTTGAAAACTATTACTGTGAATATTCACAGAGCTCAGAACCAAGTTCAGAATAATTATTAAATTATTTGTGAAAGCATAAGGAAGCAAACGCCTTTCACCAGATCACAAGCTAACGCCCCAAACTAACTAGCTAATCTGAATGATGTCCGAGCATTCACGCGACCAGACAAGATGTTACAATTCATAAGAAATACGATGGTTGTTTGCAATCAGTTCTTCAAATTCCGCATAAAATATTCGAAAAAACTGCATTACAGTTCTCATGTTGACGATGGTAAATATATGAAAATTCTTGTGATCAGTTTTGCATATTGTGGATTATTATTGTATTATTTGAGAAGAAAGGATCGAATCGTTGACGCGATATCTATAGATACGGATTGTTTTGCATATTATGATTATTGCTTATTCGAGAAAAAAACCAAGAATCAAAAGTCGCAAGAAAAAAATCCCAATATATATTCGGTGTTGATAGTCATTCACACGCATATGCTGTTGTAAAAAATTGTGATGATCGCTTGAATAAATAATCAAACAATTGTAACAACAATTCTATTTTGATGTCATAATATATGGTGCTGAAAATAATATCAACCAAAAACTACCAAATGAGCTATGTCATGTTACAGATCGAACTCCACAGCAATAAGTGCTCCAACTGGAATGAATCGATGCGACGTAAACGGACAAAATCAAAGAATTTGACTGATTCAATCGACCAATACATTTATTATTATAATCCTTTCATGTACACAAATGGACGAATATGAACCCAAATGAAATGACCGAA